GTGTAAACTCGCCCCGTGTGAGCGAGGCTTTGTTCTCTAGGCACCATGGTTCGTTACGAAGTGCTTCACATAGGAACAGTCGAACCCCAACGGCCAAAGAAGAAATTTCAAAGTTAAATGCCAAATACTTAAAGAAGTTATAGTATACATATTAACTACCTTGCTTTAAATTTGCTGGATAACACCAACTGTGAATATAGATTGAAAAGATGCCATGTTTTGGACCTAACTTGTCATTTTTAGAAATGTATAAAAATTTATTTATTTATGTATATTCAGTATCTACGAAGTAAAAGGCCAGGGACATAAAAACGTACGTTTCAAAATTTTCACTCCACGACGCATTTTGTTTTCGTATAGTCTGAAATAATGTAGTTTACGTAGCGTGTACGCCGTAACAACATGACACTCCCAACGGTGTGTGCCAGAACCAGAAGTGTAGGTTTAATTTAAATATTTTAATTAATTTATGTTTATAAATTTAAATCCAGAAAGTGCGAGTTAATGAGCTGATGTCTTCTGTCTGCCATGTTATCTTATGGGGCGTCTGGCACTAAACAACCCTACGTGCGACGTTGCCAATTCTACCAGGCCGCGGCCTGGAGTTAAAGGTGGCCGTGGGTTATAGAATCTCTTTTTAGCGAATTTCCCATATAAGGAATAAGCTATTACCGTAGTACTCATGGTAAGACCTGGACCCGGGACCGATTTATTTTTTCGTTTTGAGGTCCCTAGAGGTCAAAAACACCATCCGTTCAAATTCATATATATGTGTGTATGTCTGTTAGCACGATAACTCGAGCAAAAATGATCCAATTTTGATGAAATTCGGTAGACACGTGTAAACCTACATTTATTCGAACGAGTTCGCGAACCAGCATGATCAGACTATGGGAACGGGGGTTTATGGGGGTTTAATGGGTTAAAAATAGGTTTTCCCATTTTTGACCCTAAAAACACATAATTTTAAAATTTCTTTTTTTTTAAATCGTTTTGTAGAGCGTAAAAAAACAAATAATTTTGTATATTGAAGCGTTATTGTGCGCCTAATGGTTACGGAGAAAATTCCAAAAAACTGTAAATTTAAAATCCCCATGTTATTCTTATGGAAAATAAGTCAACTGTTGTAGTTTGCTTGTTTATGAACATATTTTGATCGAATTTGGAAAATACATTCATTTCTTACTACACTATTAACATTAAAAAAAACACCTTTTAGCGAATTTCCCTATAGGGAAGTAGCTATTACCGTAGGTGGCACGGTAAGACCTAGACCCGGGACCGATTTACTTTTTCATTTTGATGTCCCCAGAGGCCAAAAACACCATTCGTTCAAATTTTTATATATGTATATATATATATAAACACACACATATATATATATATATATATATATATATATACTAGCTGACCCGGCGAACTTCGTATCGCCTAAGTTATAGGTTTCCCCTAAGACAGACCGATGGAAAGAAAGTACCGTTACGTTTAATTTTCAAGATGATCTCGTTCGCATCGCTCAATCACGTCCTGGTTGAAGTTCGTTCGCTACGCTCACTCACCTTTAGGTTGGAGCTCGTTCGCTGCGCTCACTTGCCTTCAGGTTAGCCCGTTCGCTACGCTAACTCGCCTCCAGGTTGAAGTTCGTTCGCTACGCTCACTCACCTTTTGGTTGCAAATTAGCTGTTGTCATAAATGTAAAAGAAATAATAGTGCTGCACCCTGTTGGTAATCCTTGTAACTTTAATGCTATTGAACATCATAGAACAGAACCAACTTGTTTAATTGAAACAGCTGTTAAGATTCATTAATTCCATTTCTCATAAGGTTAACATGGGAAACTCCAGAGCCACTGGGGCGGAGCCCTTTTAAGAATTTCGAAACGGGAAATAGTTTACGTCCGATTCGCATACCTACAGAATTTACACACCAAATTTCATAACGATCGGTGAAGTCGTTCCGGAGGAGTTTGCAGACAAACACTGTGACACGAGAATTTTATATATTAGATATATATATACGTCCGTGAACGCGATAACTTGAGTAATTTTTGTCCGATTTTGATGAAATTTGGTTTAAAGGTGTAAAGCGGGATAAACTTGAATGAGTTCACGAACCAGCACGATCGGACCATGGGAACGGGGATTTACGGGGGGTTTTATGGGGTAAAAATTGGTTTTTCTCACTTTTGACCCTCAAAACACAAAATTTCCCGATTTCTCTTTAGACCTTTTTAAAGAGCTTAAAAAAACAAACAATTTAGTATATAATAGTATTTTTGTTCGATTATTAGTAACGAAGAAAATTAAAAAATTGTAAATTTAAAATTCCCATGTTATTCTTATGGAGAATAATGTCAAATCTTGTAGTTTGCTTGTTTAGGGATATATTTTGATCACACTTGGCAAATTTATTTATTTTGTACTAAGCTATCAATATTTTACTCAAAAACACACTTTATTAGTTTCCTTGTAGCAGCAAACCTAGGTACTCGTTAAACCTAATGTTATTAAAATATATTTAACTGAAAATCAATTCAGACAAATGGAAATTCGCTTAGTCGGCAGGTTTGCTGCGGCGGGGGTATTTACCCTTCCTAATGCAGCAATCCTAAGTACTCGTTAAACTAATTCTATTTAAATAGGGAATAAATATGATATTTTTAAGGGGGCATTTTAGTGTAAATCCTATCAGGCTAATGGAAATTCGCTTAGTCTGCAGGTTTGCTGCGGTGGGGGTATTTTATTTCTATAAAATAAAATCATTGACATAGTTTTAGAATAAATGATTTATGACAAATTTTTAGATTAAATAAACCTTCCACATAGTTGTGTAATTTGGCAGTCTCAAAAAGGGGGCCTGGAGGCGAAGCCTCAGCCAGCCAAAGGTGAGTCAGTTAAGTACAGTATACAATACCTAACGAGATCAGTACTTCACAAATACACCAAACAAGATTTAGCGTACAGACATTGGAGACATTAGTACAGGTCGTGACATCTAAAGCTGGCACTTGGCCGATCACTACTAGTATCTAGTTAAAAAAATATATATACAGACTGTCCCAAAAGTCCCGGACCGGTTTAATATTTTCTAAACGACAACAGATAAATCAACAAGATTTGGTACATCAACATCACACCTAAAAATCTACTTTTTTATGGAAATATAAATTTTCTGTCACATCATGGGGACGTCCCGCAAGGAGTCAGAAGGAAATCTTAAATAGAAGCATAGGTTGACATGTACATCAGATTAAAGGTCTTTACTAGCAGAATATAATGCTGCAAATTTAAACTCAAACGGACAACCAAGTCAAGAGTAACAGTGGTTCAAAGATTCATTTAATTTGCATTTGGGGGCAGAGCCCTAGGAGTCAGAACATTTTTGTTGGCGTAAGCATAGGTCGATATGCACATCAAATTAAAGGTCTTCACTAGTAGATTACAATGCCGTAAATTCAAGCTCAAAAGAACGCCTGAGTAAAAAATGGCAGTCGTTCAAAGATTCAAAATGGCAGGTTCAAGAAATCTTTGAACGGCCGCCATTTTGTAACGGGTGATCCTTTCGAGGCGCGGTTTCCGGCATTGAACTCTGCTAGCTAAGCCCTTTAAACTGATGTGCATATTGACCTATGCTCCTATTTAAGATTTCCTTCTGACTCCTCGTGGGACGTCCCCATGATATGACAGAAAACTGATAGTTCCTTAAAAAAGTAGATTTTTTAGTGTGGTGTTAATGTGCAAAATTTTATTGATTTATCTGTTGTCGTTTAGGAAATATTAAACCGGTCCGGGACTTTTGGGACAGTCTGTATATGTTCCATCATGCGGGTTGCATCAACTGTGTTTCATCAACTGTCCTCGCGACCTATATGAAGGCGCTCGAGTACATAATACAAGGGGAGTGAACCCCGTGTGGCAGCGGAAAGGTTTGCAGTCCGCTGGTCTTTTCCCTACCTCCACCCTCCTTCCGCATACACTGCCCACGCTAGGTCGGCAGTGAAACTGAAACTGCGTAACTCCATTCACTCGACCACTAGTTCACGATTAACCACTCCTGAAGCTGTCTCATAGTTTATTTTAAATAATATCTTGATTAATTTAGGATTATTTTTTATATCATGTTCAACTTTAGTTATGGAAATCGTCCCAAGCACAGGTCTTGCATGGCATATGCGCACGCGGGACTATTTTTCGTATGTCTAATATGTATATACCATAGATAAAACATACTCCCTTAGTAGATTTCTCATCCTTATGGAACAGCTGAAGACAATTTTATTGTTAGTTCTGTACGGTTTATGTAGAGGTCGTGTTTTGTTTACAATTTGTTTCCCGTTATTACAGTCATTTAAAACCTCGTTCATCCAAATAATACGATCTAATCATAAACAACAACTTGTCCCCTTGTTATATAACCAAACAGTAAAGCACAAATCAAGAAATTAACCCTAAAATAATAGAAACAAAGTCTCGTCAACACTAGCGCCCATGTGTCACGTACATGAACTAGACACGAAAAACGTGCTTCAAAATTTACAATGGAATGAGAAGTCTGGTTAGTCTATGTATATACACTGTAAAGATTTTTGAAATAACACAATATGTTTTGATTTTATTTGTACGGACATTGAACACAGAAGGAATGGGGCGATTCCTAGCTTCTTGCCTTCTTGCTTCGACGCTACCTCCGTACGTGTTGTGATTGGGCGGCTGGTCATCTCAGCTTACCAACGGTTTTGCTCTGGCATTTGAATTTAAAATGTTCAAATTCATTACAAAAATGTGATCAACTTGCATGTTGCATTATTTTACTAATCAGTAGTAAAATATAATACGGTACTTACAGAGTTGTATAAAAAATCCTGTTTAAATTTAACATTTTTTGTTATGCTGTTGGCTACGTTGCCTATTGTTAATCAGCACAAAAAAAGTTTAAGATGACAAAGTCGAAGTCAAACTCAAAATAAAACTGGTAAATCAAAATAAACAAAACATCAGAACTCAGAAGAACTATCAGCAGCCGACAACCTTCCTTATAACAGTAACAGTGCTGCATTAGATTCTTGGCATTAAAGTTTAAATGACAGTGGTTGATAATATATGATAATATGCTACTATTATACCACTCTTTTACATAAAGAATAAGAAAACGCTCCAAAATCTTTATTTTGCTCTGTTAGTTTATTTGGTTATGTTGTCTAAAGTGTAATCTAGGCCTAGTATGTTGTAACAAATTTTGTGTTTGATTCGGAGCATATTTTGATGCCAATGTCCGCTTCGTAAATTATGAACAAGAGCCTGAATAACAATTAATTCATACAAATATGCCTTTAGGATACTACAGCAAGTACGTTACTCAGAGAGGTGCCCTCAAGTCTTGCATGCTTTTCCTTTTCCACTTGGCTTGGAAAAGTAGGATTAAACTACCAATACTAATTGCCATTGGATTCATGGTGTTGGATATTAGGATGCAGCTAGAGATTAATTTCAACATGGGCAGAGGAAGAGACGATGTACCAGATGACCCAGAAAATGTATATGAAGGCGTTGAGGATATTGACACACCTTCTGAAATGTCAGGCACAGAAGTGAGTGAAACAGAATCATTCTCAACCGAGCCTTCCTCAGACATGGAAGAGGATGAAAAGGAGAAGTGCAGTGATGGTTTTTGTTGCCCTGATGATAATGATGGTGAAGATAAGCCACTCTTAGGGTAGGTAAGTTAAATGGTTCCGTTCTTGAAATTTAATTTTTAATATAGGCTAGGCCTATATCTAGACCAACACATTAGCTGCAGGTGGCTCAGTACTGACCCACACTGCAGTGCCAAAATCTTTAAAATCTGTTGCTCATTGCGAGCCTAGCGTCAGTCAAAGGCAGACCTAACTTATACAGCATTACTTAGCATAGACTTGCTTTTTATTGTGGTGTAGGCTACGGTACATCTGCCATTTGATGGACCGCAGCGAATGTGTTAACTTAGGCATCAGGTTAGATTTTTACTTAACTTAATAAAGTTAGCTAAATTCAGACACTTTTACTTTTTTTAACACGTTTGCTACTGATGTGTTGAACAAATTCCTTCACCACAGACCAGCGTCAACCATGGTTGACAAAAGGGTAAGAATTTACGACCCACACGTCACCCTAAACTAGGTGTGAAATTCTGTAAAATGTGTAGGTTGTAAAATTAAGTTTTGGATGATAATAATGAGGGGGAAAGTGAATAGGCCTACCAAACCAAAAAACTGACTGTTAAACTTATATAACCAAACGTGACGTACCGGTAACACAAAGTCGTCCAAAACATCAAAATAAACCTTTTTACACACCTCAGGAATAATAAATCAACTATAGTAATAAATAACTAAATTAACAACAATTAAAGGCTACCGTACTCAAGCAATGATTGCTCAGGAGGGTACAACTGCCCGGCAGCATTGAAGAATTAGTGCACCTCTGCTCCTGCGGTGAATACTGTTGTTTAAACTGGTACTGGGTTAAATACCCGAGGAAATGCTCCTTCAAAATATTATAGCGAGGGATTTTTACCTGAACCTCCCCTCCAAATACCTACGTCCTATATTATTTTTGTATAAGCACCAATCTCCGGGTTGACGAAAATTCAGCGAGTGGTTTACCTGATTACCTCCCTCTTCACCAAGACCAGCTTTGCCAGATAGGTTTTGTCATACATGGTTGACGGTAAGGTGCCTAAACCCCTCCTGGGATAAGCAATCATAGGCTTTCCAGCAGTCACTGAAGTTGGTAGTGCCAGGAAGGATCCACTCTCAAATCAATGCCAGCAATGTTGTAGAGTCCCTCGATTCTAACTGCCTGCTAAGTTTGTTTGACCACCAAAAAGATATCTCTGTATATTTACTTAGAAAAATATTAGATGTGGGGTATTGGCTTTTTATTCACCCTGTTTAGAATGTGTTCAATTTTAACTGGTGTCCAATGGAAGTACTCACAGAGCTTTTATTTGTTAGGCTACATTACCAAACACAATTGTATACCCTTCTTTTATTTAAAAGGAGTTTTTTCATATAGGCCTAATCATATGTTGATTGAAAGTGTTGATTTCAGCTTCATCAGTTTAATCTATAAATTATTTTGTCTCTTTCTTAGCATTTGCATCATTATGTCCAAAATTTATTTTTAGGATAGTTATTTGCTATTATTGGTGTTTTTATGTTTCAGATAAGAGTGAGAGCAACATCAGGAGTTAAAATAAACAATTGTAAGCCATTTATGTATATATGGAATGTTAGTGATTTCACTTGATACTAAAAAGTAGGCATGTTTAACTTGTATACTTAGGTACTTCGTAACTTGCCAAATTATACTAGCTAATCAAGAAGGAAACGAAAAGAGATTAATTTTTCTATTCAAATTCAAATTGAAGATATCTAAACATCTAATATCTCAATTAGTTGTGTACTCCATTTTGGTAAAATTAATATGTAAATATTGTTGTTGATTATTACTGTATTTAGGCTTAACTTACTTTACGACAAAAAAGAAGTAAAAACTAGTCTTGAAAGAACCAATATTTCCTCAACAAGTTATTGATTTGAGCTCTTACTGTTCTCTACAATCAAGTTGTGCAAGGGCTGTTTCCTAAGGACAGGGGCTTCTGGTTATAGCCTACGTATACCTAATAGTAATGATGAGGTACAGTAATTTTGTCAATCTTAAAAGTCTATTAAAATTCAAAAAGTTTATAGTTCAATCACTGCTTAAACCGGACATATTTATAAAACTCCGCCGCAGCAAACATATGTATAATATTATATATATTATGAATATGTATAATATATAAATTATATAATATATGTACAATATTATATATTAATAGGCAAGCATGTTTCTTTAAAACATTTTCTCAGCTCGTGTAAGTTACATCGCAGGGAATACGCATAGGCCTATCGTTAAAAAGATATTTTCCTGTAGATGGGCAGAATCCCTTTAAAAATTAAAATAGGATCAAAAATAAATCGTTTCCGGGTCCAGGTCTTACCATGAGATCTAATGTAATAGCTATTCCCTATTTGGGAAATTTGTGAAATAATAAAAAAAAGGTCAGTCTAATTTACTGAAGCTTTCAAGTGAAAACAGTTGTAACATTTTTGTTATATTTCTTGAGTTGCCTACTGTAGGCATAACTTGTGTATATAATACTGTATTTTCACTATCCAATTAATTGTTGTGATAGTAGCCTAGGCTTAAAGCAACTTTGTATTAATTTAGTAATACTGAATAATTTGGGGTTTTGAGTAATAATTTTAATAAATATTTGTAGGTAATATTGTATTTTTATTTCATTCACCTAAACCATACATTGTGTTTTAGTTTTGTAGTACATTTAAACTGCAGTTGAGCATTTTTTTAAGTCGTAAAGAAATCTTAAAACGTTTGGTCTCATTAGGGATAAAAGCCAGTTTTACTAACCACATTCTCATAAGCATATACAGGGTGTCTCACGATAGGTGTCTCAAATTGATTACAAAAAAACGGCTTAACGTACAAGGGTCAAACAAAATTATTTCCCTCTAAATCAACACCAAGGAATAACGTAAAAATATTTTTAATTTTTTCCCAATACAGCGTGTGGCGAAAACTGAGGGTCACTAGTTTGAATCTCGGAATTTTCAAATCTAGGCCTAAACATATGTCATGTTATACATCATTTTAAAGGTATTTGATAGACAAACATTTTGGCAAAAACAGAAATCAATTATCTTTTTCCGTTTCAAAATGGCGGCAGTTTCTATATTCGAAGAATCTATATTTTTTAATACTCTGTTTCCTATACCAATGCATTTAGTCTTTCTCCGGTTGAATTTTCTTACTTGTTATGAAAATAGCTTTACTTTGATATGCTACAAGTAACGGTAACATATGTCAAGGTGCACATCATTTTATAGAATTCCTAACAACTTTGTAATTTACACTTACTTCGTATCTCTTTTAGTTTTTGCGTAAATAACAAAAAACCTAATTTTCTTATATCAAATGCATGTTATTTGGGTTTGACGTGGTTTAACACTTAATGAAATGGGGCCTTTAGTGTTAAACCCAAATAACATGCATTTGATATAGGAAAATTAGGTTTTTTGTTAATTATGCAAAAACTAAAAGAGATACGAAGTAAGTGTAAATTCAAAGTTGAAGGAATTAAAAAACCTATAAAATGATGTGCCACTTGACAATGGCTTTTGGTTGCTATTTGAAAATTTTAAACAATGAGCATTTGCAGATTTTCAAAAATAATTTTATTTTTTATTTTTTTCATTTTGAAACGGAAAAAGATAATTAAGTTAACTTCTGTTTTTGCCAAAATGTTTGTCTATTAAATACCTTTAAAATGATGATAACATGACATTACATTTGAAAGTTCCGAGATTTCATCCTTGTACGTTAAGCCGTTTTTCCGTAATCTATTTGAGACACCTCTCGTGGGACACCCTGTACACTCATTTTACAAGAGAGATGTAAAAAACTCATCATTTTTGTTAACAAGTTACTAACAGTGATATTTCCAACAATATTAACAATAAATGTTTTTGACACAAGTCAAAACATTTTTTCAAGACATTTATCTTTAAAAATAAAAAAAATTGATCACTGTATTCCGTATTGATAAATATTTCAAAGGTACTAAATAATATTGATCAATTTGATTGTTGGTCAAAAAATATTTTAACTATGTAGGCTAGCTAGCCTATATACCAATTTATGTATTCTGATTTTTGTTTCTTTAGTATTCATAGCCATTATTTAATATTACTAAAAGAAAAAAAAAAAAAACAATCTTTCATTAATGAAATCTTTAAATTTACAAAACCTATTAAAAAACCTCTATTAGCTACCATGCGGGTACTAAATTAGAAGTTAACTACAACAAATTTAAAAATAAACCCAAATAACGGATTAAGTACATAAAAGGTTTATACATGTCCAAATTATATACTGGCCTACCCTGTAAGGAATGCTACTTTCTTTTATAAAACATTGTGGAAACCAGTTCTGTTTTGCCATTATTGTAAATACTGTTGTGATTCTCATCCAGGCCAAAACATAGCTTGCACTTCTGGAAATCACTAGACTATGAACACTTTAATTTTACAATTTTATAACATAATCCCTATGTAAGTAGCAGGTTAAAAGTTGCGATGAGGAATATAAATTTATACTTAAAAATTAGTAAAATAAATCGTGTATGACATTTGGCTTATTAATAACAGTCTTATTTTCAACAAATTACAACATTAACATAAATCCCAAGTAATAACATTTAAATAGTTCTTAATTCATATAAGATTAAATAACAACAATGGAACTACTCTAATTCCTACCAAATGTCAATTACAATAATGTGTAGCCTATCTTATTTCCATTTAATTTATATTAAACTACTTGAACTAAGGCTGAATGTACTGTAAACCAATTGTATGACCAATTTAACATATTAGGTAAAATTCTAGAGATGTTGTAAGTAATGAAGCGTTTTTATATTACAATTGTTTACATGTAATAAAATGCATTTAAGACGGTGTAAAATCAAAGGTCAGTGATGACTTAAAATAAGCAGGATTTCATAGGAATTGCCCCAAATAGTATAAAATTATTTTTATAAAAATGTATTTATAATAGGTACTGTAAATGAATATTAGATTATTTTAAACAGCAACAACCGCTTCATACTTTTCAACAAACGTTACATTCATTATGTTTTCGCTGCCTTCCCTAACATTCTTTTCCTCCACTCTTCAAAGCTTTCTTTGGGCTCATTGTCATGAGCTTCCTGTTTGTCTTCTTCATCCAAAGATGTTTTCTGTGAGTCTGGAAACATTTACAATTATTAGTAATACTAGTGTACATGTTGCTCGAATTCGAGCAATTGCGAAGCATTACAGGTGTTATTTTAAAACGAACAACAGTCATGATTTCTGATGACTTTAAAAGAGTCAACACAAAGATTATGGAAATACTCAAAATGTACATAACAGTTTGATTATGATCAACATTTCTTGTAATATATTACTTATCATTTTTCAAAAGCTGATCTTGTTTCTTTGTGTTTTCTACAAATGTTTCCCAACATACATAGCCGCATTTGGTTGTCCATAATAGCGATTATAAATTGAAAAAAAAACATTATTTCTATTTCTTCTACTTGGTGGTGTTCTATGACTTTCCTATGTTTCCCCAGTTTGCAAATCGGCTCTTTCAATGATTGCTCAAGAAATGCAGCACAGCGTTAATTCAGTTTTCTTTTTAGTAGCCTATATCAAATTGTCCAGGCTTACTAGCTTTTTTCTATTGTCATATTTACGCCAACCCAAATTCAAAAAGTAAATATTTCATTTCAATGTTTATAGCACACGTTTTCTTAAATTAAATAACTTCTTGATCAGGGTTGTACGTGTTATTAAATTTACTGAAAGTAAATAAAAGAAACGTCTTATAACACTTAAAACATATATTTACGCTTATAATTTTACTTACAATAGGCCTACGGTAAATATACAAAAAAGATGGTAAGTGGTGATCGATTTCGATTGGACACTCCAATCATCATCAGACCCAATAGGCGAATGTGAAATCGACCACCACTTACCATCATTTTTGTATATTTACCGTCTTGTAACAGTATAGCGTAAATATATGTTTTAAGTGTTATAAGAGGTTTCTTTTATTTACTTTCCGTTCCTTAAATTGCAACCAATATATTAAGAGCAATTACATTATCCAGCTAATCATAATGTAAACAATAAGTTCTTTATAAGGTTAACATGGGAGCTTTAAAAACCACTGGGCCAGAGCCAAGGGACTTTTTTCAAAAATGTAAGGTCAGTTTGCAAATATACACACCTAGACGATCATTTAGCAATATAATATGTGGTGTTAAATCTTAAAACAAAAAAAAACCTTAACTTGTTGTTTACAAAGTTTCATGTAGCGTATTAATGATAAAGATTTTCAAATCACAGCTACAATTATGCTGTTTGTCTGAAATCGACAGAACAAATTGGTGTTTCCGACTCCTGCCACTAAAGCATGTAAATTTAATATTTTATCAAAACATTCGTAAGTTCGAATAGAATGACGCATAGTAAAAGTGGACGGGGTAACTGCTGAATATAATGCTCGCCTTGTAATCAGATGGTAGTCATTAGTGTTGTACTATCCAAGAAACAAAAATAATTAACAAGTTCTGATTAAAATTTTTATAATTTTACCAATAGAACTATTCTCTAAATTTTGGTGTGTTCTGTTAGTTTTGATTTGTAGAAAACTGAGAACTGACTAATTAATTGCTCAACCTAACATTGTCCTAACATAAGTCCAGTGAGGTTGCACCGGTCACATATGCATCCATTGTTGCAATGTCCTCGAGATCAGCTAACAGCAAACAGGAAACTTAGGCAAAATAAAGGGAGGGGAAAAATCCTAGACTTAGGTGAAGGGGTTATAAAATATTATAATTCTTTTGAAATTAGACAAGTAGATTTTTGAATAGGTGAAACCCCTTATTGAAAAATACAAATATATGTTGTCGAGGGGATACCAGCTTAATTGGCCCAAACTACGTTGAGGTCGCAAAAGTCAAATATTACTTTTCCACAAAAACATAAACAAAAATGTAAGATTAATCATCAGAATACCTTTGACCATTTCTTCCACCATGTCTATCAGCGTGTGACCTCTTTTGCGAGGTGTTGCTCGATCCGTCTGTTCTGTTAGTGTACCCAACTCTCCAGCTAGCTTGTCCAAATCTTTAACTTTAATACGACACAAATCCACCAGAATTTCTCGTTTTGCTCTAGCTTTCTTGTGTCTAAAACAGTTAAAAATTACCTAGATTATATTTCTAAAGGAGTTAACTTTTATACTAACTTAGAAAAGCGTGAAATAAAATATATAATCCTTTCAGTACCACTAGAGACTAGATTAAATCCTCTCCTACACCCACAATTATTGTTATAAATTTAACATGAGGATGGAATGTCTAGTTTTATTAATATTATATACAAAAAAAAGGGAAAAAGTACTCATTGAAGTTATTTCAAGTATTATAAGATTGAAATTTCTCAAGTGTAACATAAAATTACAGTACCTGCAGGCTGCTAAGACAGCTGCACAAGGGTACATTGGGTGACTCAGGTCGATGGGAGGAAGTCTGACTGCTGCGTCTTCTTTACTGCGGACATATCTGGAACCAAACCTGCTAACTGTAGAGCTGTGAATACCAAACTGTTTACAAACAAGGCTACTTAGATGGCATGGTTGACTACTTGCTGTATTGACAGAATAAACATTTCATTACTATAATACAGCTGTTGGGAGTTTTAGAATATAAATGAACTTAGGCTAGATAAATTGAGCCACTGAAAAGAAGGCCCTGACATACAATACTTATTACTTTTGGAAACACCAACATTTAAAACAAGCCTAACAGAAATAAATCAGTTTTGGTCACATCAACTATCTTAGTACAATTTATCAAAATTGGGGATAAAAGATAATTTTGAGAGTAGTAGGTGGCTCATTTAAATGTTCTATCATCCTATTTGAATACAAAAATTGGGTGTAGCTGGTCCATACATATGGGATATCCACTTCAAGATCCAAAACTCAATTATAGCATTTAAATGAGTACATATTGCCATTGGTCAAAGAGATGGAAGATGAAATCATTTACTGGGGGGAAGAGGGTTGTTGGTTCAGTAGTTAAATAATCCTATAACTATGGGGCGTACAGGACATGGAGCACAAAACCCATTAAACTTGTCTTGCTCATTTTTATTTTAAACAAAGTGTTTAACTTGTTAAAACATTTTTAATGGATTTCAATATTTATTTAAGTTTAAAGAAATTACGAATTACATCATAAAACTGTATTACGTACAAATTATTCATTAGGATGAAGAGCTTAGGGTTTATTCTGAATTGATTAGGACTGGACAATTTTCGGATTACCATATTATTCAAACCAGCCTAAGAATGCTGTAAAATTACATACAAAGATAAAGCAATGTATTTTTATCACAGTTATTAGCATACTTGGGAATAACGAATAGAAATTCTATTGAATAGCACTATTCATTAGTTTTTTTGGCTAACTTCTATTTTATTCGTTTGTTTTTAAATTAACTAACTAATAACTTCTATCAGTTACTTTTTACGGGGCTAACTAATAACTTCTAACTAGTTAGAATTTTCAACTAACTTTCCCAATTATGCGGAAGCATCTCCAATACTGGTTATTTATTTCACGTGATCAGTGAGGGTTGCGTGCGGCTGTGAGAGGTCAGTGCCCTTGTAGACAAACAACGCGGGGGGTGGGGAAAGAGAAAGTCAAAGTCCAGTTGCTTTGGAATGCAGTGGGCCTGTGGAAGGGTAGTGACGGCCATTATCAACACCCCAAGCACTGATGGGTGGGAAGGGGAAATGTTTGTTTGGTGATTGATATATCATCTCAAGTGTCAAAACATTGTCTTTAGTTGATGTTCATTATCTGACAAGTTTTATGTCATTTGTTTATGTTGTAGTAATGTAAAATGTGACAATGTTTGATTAAAACACAAGTACCAGGGGACCGATCTTGATCTTGCTCGAGGTGTTTGATTTGTTCAAGAGGTAGAAAATAGAACTTATAAGCCTACAAATATTTTCAGTCTTACTACGATTAATTAAGTAGTAAAGTCAATTCGTTTTTGTTAGACATCCACTTATCCTCAATTTAGGCTACAAAACTTTTTAATTTGGACGATCAATCTATAAAATGTCCACAATAAGCTTCAATCAATATAAAACTCATGATACATAGCATCTGTTATCTGACGACCGTTATTGCATTAAGTCACTGGGATCGTGGAACGTTGCAACTATAATTACGGGATGGTGTAATAACGCATCAATTCGTGCGGTGCATCGTCGAAAAATACAAATCTCCTTGGCCTTTCCTTTAGATTTTTAGTTCAATGTCAGTGTATATTGTTTTGCAGTAAAAAACTTAATGTTTTTGAACAGTCGTAATTATCCCTTTGGTTAGTAAGACATCATACAATGCAAATGTATTATACAAGCAATTTTCAATAGCATTGAAATTGGAGGAAATTGTAGGAGCCCTTTTTTAAATCATATCCTGCGCAATCTTTACTCATATTATAGTATATATTAGTAACCAAGATGTGACATTAAAAAATACTTTAAAACAACTGCCCAACGAACAACTAATTTCTACTAAAACTAACCTTATTTTCTATCAGTTAGTTTTTCAACTAACTAATAACTTCTATCAGTTACTTTTTAAACTAACTAACTTATAACTTCTATCAGTTACTTTTTACGGGACTAACTTATAACTTCTAACTAGTTAGAATTTTTGACTAACTTTCCCAACTATGGTTATTAGTCATATTGCTTCTTGATCAAAACGTGATCGTCTCCCGCAGTTGCGGCAACACCCGTGATAATCTCTCAAGATCATAGACAATGACCCTAACGAATGAAATGTGATTGATGAATGGACCATTGGCTATGGGTAATATTCTAAATTTCCCAATTCCATACCAAATTAACAGACTTTTTTCTGGTCAACAACATTTAAGTTTTTTTGCAGTTTCCCGGTTGACTTGATTGTATTTCAGAATACATCGCTGTTTTAGCGAATTTCCCCTAAAGGGAATAAGCTATTACCGTAGTACTCATGGTAAGACCTGGACCCGGGACCGATTTACTTTTTTGTTTTGAGGTCCCTAGAGACCAAAAACACCATCCGTTCAAATTCATATATATATATATATATATATATACATTTATATATGTGTCTGTTAGCGTGATAACTCGAGCAAAAATCATCCGATTTTGATGAAATTTGGCACAAACGTGTAAACCTACGTTTATTCGAACGAGTTCGCGAACCAGCATGATCGGACTATGGGAACAGGGGTTTAATGATATATACTGTTTACTAAATTCTGCTCTAGAATTTAAACATACATAAAAATTGGGTTTTCCCATTTTTGACCATACAAACTTAAAATTTAGCATTTTCTTTCCAAACCATTTTGTAGGGCTTAAAAAAAACCAAATAATTTAGTATATTGAAGCGTTATTATGCGCCTAATGGTTACAGAGAAAATTCAAAAAAACAGTAAATTTAAAATTCCCATGTTATTCTTATCCTACTAATATTATAAATGAGAAAGTTTGGATGTATGGATGTATGGATGGATGTATGGATGTATGTTTGTGACAAGTGAACGCGAAAAATATTGGTCGGATTGGGCTGAAATTTGGCATGATGATAGCTCACATTCCCGATTAACATATAGGCATATTCTTATTTCAAAATTCCTTTCGGGCTCCGCCCCAGTGGCTCTGGAGTTTCCCATGTTAACCTTATGAGAAATGAAATTATTGAATCTTAACAGCTGTTTCAATTAAACAAGTTGGTTCTGTTCTGTGATGTTCAATAGCATTAAAGTTACAAAAATTACCAACAGGGTGCAGCACTATTATTTCTTTTACATTTATGACAACAGCTAATTTGCAACCAAAAGGTGAGTGAGCGTAGCGAACGAACTTCAACCTGGAGGCGAGTTAGCGTAGCGAACGAGCTAACCTGAAGGCAAGTGAGCGCAGCGAACGAGCTCCAACCTAAAGGTGAGTGAGCGTAGCGAACAAACTTCAACCAGGACGTGATTGAGCCATGCGAACGAGATAATCTTGAAAATTAAGAAGTTAAACGGGGCAAAGCCCGCGGGTTACAGCTAGTGGAGAATAAGTAAACTGTTGTAGTTTGCTTGTTTATGATAATATTTTGATCAAATTTGGGAAATGCATTCATTTCATACTAAACTATTAACATTTCACAACAACAAAAAAACACCTTTTTACCCTCCCTGTTGCAGCAAACCTAAGTACTCGTTAAACTAATGTTATTTAAATAGGGAATAAATGTGATATTTTTGAGGAGACATTTTAGTGTAAATCCAATCAGGCAACAAATGGAAATTTGCTTAGTCTGCAGGTTTGCTGCGGCGAGGGTATTTAGTACTGAAAACTTTTCACTCCCTCTGTAAAAACAAATTCAACATCATATCTAGAAACAGTAGTCCCGTATAATTGAACACTCCAGACAACACAACACAATAGACTGGCAGCCAATACCAAGTAGTGCAAGTGTGTAGTGCTTCACAACTATGTATACTAATTGATAACTGACGACGTGGCCTACAATCAGGAACTCTCTCCACCACATTTCTGGCGACACCACCAAGGTCGCTGAGTGTTCTGTAGTCAATATGATGCACGGTCCGTTGTGGTGGAGCGGCCATGGCGGCACTGGAATGGAGGCTAAGTGGGCAGTCCCCACTAAATAATAACTTTAAATAATAACTTAAACTTTCTTTCCACAATTCCGATATGTTTAGTTGGCTAGTCTTTGCTCACCTATCAATTAGTGTCCGAGCAAGGTCAGCCACGTCAGAGCCTACTGCCACTTTGACGCAGAGCTCGGCTACAGTGAGTGGTTTGTCCAGCTGAAGAACCTTCTCTACTGTGTAGTAAAGACTTGCGTAGTTCTTCTTTGTCACCCCAGCTACTTTGATGGCTAATGCCTATTTTCATTAAAGAAAATAGTTTGAATCAATTAAATGCAATTGCTCATAATATCATCATAAAAGTAGCTTGTAGTTTGAACTATTTTTGGACTCAAAACAACTCCTTCGTTACCAACATCTAATTTCTTTAAGCGAACTTCCCTATAGGAAAGTAGCTATTACCGTAGGTGGCACGATAAGACCAGGGACTGTTTTCCTTTTTCGTGTGCCCAAAGGCTTCTTATTAATGTTCTTATTAATATGAGTAAGAATGCACCAAGTGAGTAGCCAAAAGCACTATTCGTCCAAATTTTGATATATGTGTCTGTGAATGTGATAACTCGAGTAGGCCTACTTCATTTTTGGAATAAGATTTCAAGATCTTTATTTGTCACTAAGTAATACAAGTATAACAATAGACATCGTCAAAGTTTTTTTTAAAATATTACATACAGTTAATTTCCTGTTAGAGTAGGCCTAACAGTAAGAATGCACCAAGTGAGTAGCAATCACTCTTTAAAATATAACTGTTAACATTTAACTAACTCTAAAATAAATAAATAAACAATTCACATGTCAATGATCATAAATAAAATCTGTAAATATAATAACGATAAATCTTTAAATATAATAACAATTAAATATTTAAATATATTAATATTAACATTGATGTTCTAAAAACATAGGGAACTAATATCACAGGCCAGATAATCGTCTATGGAAATGAAATGAAAAAAAAAAATAATAATAAAAAAAATAAAATAAAATAAATAAAAAATAAAATAAATATAATAAAAATACAAAAATATAAAAAAATAAATAAATGAAATAAAAAACATTTTTCTTAAGCCATTGTTTTATAATAGAAACAAATAGGGTACAATCCATGCCTTTTTGGGCAATTTATTGAATAGTTGTATCTTCATACATATGTGGCTGCTCTTTGTTTTTTCCAATCTTACAAAAGCTAAATCTAATTGATAGTTATTCCTAGTACAGTACTGATGAGTTTCGTTTCTAGTTGTAAAATTTTTCAAAGACTCCTTAACATCTATTAGAAACAGTAAATATATAGATTAGGCAAAGTCATTATTTGTAATTCTTTGAATATTGGTTTACAAGACTGTCTTTGCGGTATATTCTTGATTGCTCTCAGTGCCTTTTTTTTTTGCCATCCAAGAGCAGTCTGCGCACTGCAAGAGTTGCCCCATAAGGTTATACCATATCGTAGATGGGAATGAAAAAAAGCATAGTATGCAGTAATCAGCATATCTGCAGTAACACAGTGTCTTAGTTTTCTGAGAAGACAAACCACTCTGGCCAGTTTCTTACACAATTGCTCTAAGTGACTATCCCAACTTAGTCTGCTGTCTAAATATATGCCTAGCAATTTCACAGATTTAATATCCTTATAAATAGAGTAGTTAAGAGTAAAAATGATATTTTCAGTTTTCTGGTTATTTACAATTAAATGATTGGATTGGAACCATTCTTGTGCAACTTGTAAAGCCACAAAAAGTCTAAAGTTTTTTAAGTTCCTTTAAATCTTTATGGCTGTTTAGAAGTGATGTATCATCTGCATAAAGAACAGAGGTACAAGGAATATTGAAAGAGAAATCATTAACTGCAATGATAAATAGTAGTGGCCCAAGCACTGATCCCTGGGGTACACCATTTTCAATTTTCTTAAAGCTAGATTTGTCTTTGCCCTGGATTACCATTTGCTCTCTGTCACTTAAATAAGAAGCTAACAACTTCAACTCTTGGCCCCTTATACCCAGTGTTGGGAAGTAGCGCGCTACAAGTAGCGACGCTACAGTAGCGCGCTACTTTTTTTGTAGCGTTAGCTGTAGCTACGCTACTTTTAAGATTTTGTAGCTTTAGCTGTAGCTAGCTACATTTTTAAAGTAGTTGTAGCGGAATTTTAGCTACTTTTCTCGCTACATTAACATTGTTTGAGATAGTGATTTTTATCATAACCTCAACCTTACGTGAAACAACCTCTTTCAAACTGAGATTTAAAAAAAAAATTAGGCCTTACTTTCTTGGCTTCATACAGCTGGTTGCAGCCGTTTCATTCCCTATTACAACGTTGTGTGGACATGGAGGCCATTAAATGAGTGTTATCCACATTTTTGGCTCTCATTTCCTTAATTTACTACTCTATGATTACTGTCAGATAAAATAAAATCGCTAGATGCAGACGACGTTTAAACGTTACCGTGACAAGAGAAGCTACTGAATGCTTGCAAGTGATTGACAGGGAAAATAGTAATCAATTTAGTTTGTTTATTATTAATAGTGTTTCAACTTGGATTTTAATGGAAACCAACACTAAACCTTAAAATAATGAGAAAGCTGGTCTATTAACCTTTGCTTCAGCTGTTGATTGTGGTTCATCATCACAAGCCCTTCCTTGGTTAGATTACGAAGATTTTTCAAAGGTTTACTAAATTAACAAAGAGGAAATTACCTGATGTGATTTAAGATATGTATAGACTAAATGATAATTGTAACGAAAAAATCTCCATATAACATGAAACTTACATTGAAAAAATAGCATAGTTTGCTCCTGGTAACAGCTCTTGTATAGGACTATTAATTCCTAGGCTATGCTATGGTTTAAGACGAATACCAAGTTCCAAGTTCTATTATTAGGAATCCTATCTGTTTAGTCCTAGCAAGAACAAGCCTACTATAGCCAACTTGTTACATAGCCAAGTAGGCCTACATGTTATTTTTACTTTACAAATTTCAACATGTTTAAATTAAAAGCCGATTTCAGGATAAGTTACTGGATACTGTTTTCTGTACCAACTAGGTTGAAGCACAATTTGCCCTATGCATAATGACAATAAAGGACGATTTCTTGACATTGAAAAGTGTTATTCATAGTACAAGTAACTTATCACTTAAAAGTTTATAGCAATGTCGTTTTTAACATTAAAAGAAAGGCAATAAACTCCAATTTCAGTAGGCTAGGCTCTGTAACACAAAAAAGTATTTATAAATAATCGTTTTACAGTTTTATTGGTCTTAATTGTTGATATAAGACATCTATAAATGAATCTATATTAAAGAAATAAAATGAGCTTTTAAAATATAGTTTGGTTGTATGTCCTTTGAACTTAATGAAATTGACATTTAAGATGCTTAAAAATAATGCAATATTTAAAAATAAGTACTAAATATGATGGGACACCAAACTATTTGGTTCTGTTGTTGTAATGTTAGGTTTATAATGCCAAAAAATTAAACACAATCTAGGAATAATTTGTTTTCCAATTAATGTTAGATACAATACTGACATTTTTTTAATGTTTGTTCAGTAAAAATTTAGTTGCAATTAATTTTACATTTACCTAATGTGCGTGGAATAAAAAGTAACGTCTTTGGAAAAGTAGCTAAAATTGTAGCTGTAGCTACATTTCAATGTAGCTGTAGTTGTAGCTAGCTACTTTTGCGGAACTGTAGCTGTAGCTGTAGCTAAGCTACTTTTTTGGAAATGTAGCAGTAGTTGTAGCTAGCTACATTTTAAAAGTAGCTTCCCCAACACTGCTTATACCATAGCTGTACAGTTTCTTAATAAAAAGCTCATGTTGCACTCAGTCAAAAGCTTTTGTTAAATCAATTAGTAATGCGGACGAAAGAAGTTTATTGACAATAGGCTACTTTCTACTGCTTTGCAACTTCCCTCGCTTACCAACAAAAACTGTTTGTATGCCAACTATAAATCTTTGGATTCAGGTCATTATTTTATGGATTTAAAAAAAGATATGGTTTGGAACTTCCCTATAGGAAAGTAGCTATTACCGTAGGTGGCACGATAAGACCAGGGACTGTTTTCCTTTTTCGTGTGCCCAAAGGCCAAAAACACTATTCGTCCAAATTTTGATATATATGTCTGTGTGATAACTCGAGTACTTCATTTTTGGAATAAGATTTCCCTCGCTTACCAACAACAAAAAGTGTTTGTATGCCAACTATAAATCTTTGGATTCAGGTCATTATTTTATGGATTTAAAAAAAGATATGGTTTGGAATTTTTGGTTGGTCTAGTGCTTGTTAGATGATAGATTAAGGGTAATACATTTAAAAAAACCTCATAATAAACTGACCTTGTCAAATGAACAACCAAGTTTATCAGCTGCTAGGTTTAAGCAAATTACAACAGCACATGTCTCACTCAAGTTAGGAAGTCCAGCACCTCGCTTGATTCGAAAAAGACGTAAATATTCATATCCTTTCCTGAAATAAAAACAAAATACCTGCATTACACAAAGCTTCAATTGATACTAGTGTACATGTTGCTCGATTTCGAGCAATTGCATGAGTTATTTCAAAACGAATAGCAATCATTTTAAAAGAGTCAACTCAAAGATTACCGGTGTGTAACTCAGACTATGTTTATCTTCGTTATTGCCAGCTAACCTAAAGCATTCTGGCCGGTTTTCTCCTTCCTCAAAATGCCTCGCTGTAAAGGCAACACAGGTCATTGATAGAGGGCCAATTGAGAACGAAAAGTCGTTTTGGGGTAGTGTTAGGGCGCATTTGTAACTTATAGTTGAGATTGTCCAGGGTCAGGTGCTGACTGCACGTGATGAGTTAAGCATAGACAAAAAGAATTCTTTTTGTCTATCGTTAAGCCTATTACGCGCCACTGTTCTGCGGTCGTTATCACGATTACACGATGTTTCGTTGTCGCGACGGAGGCATTTAAAAGAATAAAAAACAACAAATAAACAAATTATAGTTACACAAAACAACGATAAATGTACAAATTTAAGCTACATTCATGCTAACATGAACCGTCTAGGGGTTATGTTTTCACAAACTCAAATAGTAAATAAATGTACTCAATGTGTTTCATTGAATTGAAAAATAAATAACAGCTGATCAAAATGTAAACAATTATGTTCTTCATAAGGATAACATGGGAACTTTAACAGCCACTGGGGCAGATCCCAAGGGACTTTTTCAAAAATGTAAGGCCAGTTTGCAAATATAGGCGACACGCTCTTTCCAATGAGACGTCAATGGATAAAATCGGTTGAGAAATGGCGGAGGAGTTCAAGTTTCATGTAGCGTATTAATTATATAGATACCAACTAGCAGAGTACCCATGCCTTCATACGGGGTTGGCGTATAAATATAAAATGCGTATTGCAGTTATACTCGTGCTTTGCATTTGTAATGGGAGAGGACAGGGTTTAAGGAAACTTTGTTATGTCATAAATGCAAAAATAATTAATAGTGCTGCACACTGAGGGTAAGGCCCCCCATACACGGGCGAGCATGTCCGCAAGCCTGTTGGCGGACACGCTCGGCGTCTCCAACAGATGACCGAGCATGCTCGCGAACTTGCTTGCCGCCACCGCACTTCCAACATGCTTGCCGGTACGAAAATTTTTCTATAGGCCTAATGTCTCAATATGATAATTTGCATGAAATACTTAAGCAGATAATAATGTTTGGACTAGTAAAGTTAACTTTTCTTTAATCTTAGGTGACAAATATGAAAAAAGGATCAATAATAATGTTGAACATGATCAAAATAGCATGCATTCTCTTTGAGACATTCCCACAGACTTCCAACATTCTATCTGAGAAATGTCATCCATCCCCCAAAAATAGATGAAAATGTTCTTAAAATATTACCACTTTTGGTAAGCTAATGCAACATAACTTTACAATTCGAGTATTAACTTATAGGGTGAAAAATTACCAAACAAACTTAATGTGTAAAAACCACTTGCTTATACAGAAGAACCTCGTTAATTCAAATTTCAGAGGAAAGACAATATAATTTGAATGGGAAGTTTGAAATATAGAGAGTTTGATTTATAGAGGTAAGATAAATACAATTTGAATTATGGAGGTCCCAGTTTAAATTGTAGAAAGTTTGAGAGAACGGAGACTAATTAACACATCGTGGGAACATCAATAAGAGTGTCAGTTCATGTTTCAACAGGCATACCTTTTGTCCTGAATTTGAATTACAGAAGCTTACAGTAACGCAGTTCGAATTGTAGGGGTTGACATCAAATTTTGGAAGTAACAGTTCGAATTACGGCAACAAAATTCAAATTGTAGAAGCTCAAGTATCACTTTGAATATCGGTATGTTATTTTTTGAATTTTGGAGGTTTTCTGAGGGGAACAGACAAACATTTCTAATAGGCCTAATGGTTTTCGAATTATCGAAACTGTAAGTGGTTTTGAGAAAATAGTCCAAGCAAACTAAGAAAACTGATACAGGGATCATTAAAAAAATTGCAAGAAGACGTTTTATGGTTTTACTTTGTAGTGTTGGGTTTGCAGAATGACATACTAAAAGTTGCCAAAAATCGGTGCACGAGAAAATCACAATTTAAAATGGCGGCTTTTCCCAACATTGGAAAATTTTAAAAAAAGACACCACATGCATTTTGTATGAACATTTTTTGAGAAACTGACCTGGGACCACCGCCGATATTTATTGGGTTGTTAGTACTTCATTTTGATAGGGAACGCGTTTTTGGCCGCCATCTTGAATCCGCCATATTGGACATAGATATATTTTTTTAAACGTAATGATAGTGTTGTGACACATCATTTCAAACTACATTTTTACACTAATTTCAATGCCAAAATCCGTTTTTTAATGAATAAGAAAAATAATTTTAAAAAAATTATCAAACTACGAAACGTCCATAAGAAATGTATGGGGGAGAGTTTTCGTTTCAACACATCTTCTCGAAAAAAGATATTTAAAAAACGGATTTTGGCATTGAAATCAAAGTAAAAATGTAGTTTGAAATTATGTGTCACAACACTATCATTACGTTTAAAAAAATATATCCATGTCCAATATGGCGGCCAAAAACGCGTTCCCTATCAAATTAAGTACTAACGACCCAATAAATAACGGTGGTGGTCCCAAGTCAGTTTCTCAAATAATGGTCATACAAAATGCATGTGTTATCTTTTTTTTAAATTTTTCCAATGTTGGGAAAAGCCGCCATTTTAAATTGTGATTTTAGTGGTTTTCTCGTGCACCGATTTTTGGCAACTTTTAGTATGTCATTCTACAAACCCAACACTACAAAATAAAACCATAAAACATTTCTTGCAATTTTTTTAAGGTCATATCCTATATTTCTCTGACTAAAAGGAAATCTAAAAAAAAATTTTGCATGAAAGACAATGATACAAGGCTTCGTCAATGCTCAAGTTAACTTAGTGATATAACTGAAATGATATATCATTTATTTACACAAGCAAAGTTAGGGCCACATGGCCCTTATTTACACTTAACCTGTAAACTTATATCTTTTGTAAAAATAACTTATATTTTGATCATTTGTAATGGGTGACAAAACTGTTATTACTCGTATGTACAGTTCTGCAGAGAACCTAAAATAATAAATAATTGGATGAAATGTTAGGCCTAACTTATTGAGTAAATTTTGTAAATGGTATAGGCTTAGGCCTACTGTATTGTACGTCATTAACTTAAAGCAAAAAAACTAGGTAGCCTTACCAAGCACAAACGCTGAAGCGTGTAAATCTCCCTTAATTTAAATTGGTAGTAAACCATAGTAGGCCTATAGCTCTATTATTAGTGCCACAATGTCAGGGTAAAAAAATAATGTAGGCCCATTAGCCTAACTCATAGTCCGAGTATTGTCACTTCAGCTTCATATATTATAATTGTTTTGTTATACTTCAATTAGGCCCTATTAACTGTTGTATTTTTCTTTTTTCTCTTAAATATTTTTTGTAACGCAGAGATACGCATCCAGTAAGTTAATCGGGCGTAGATTGGGCATCCGGCAGTGACGTCACCGGGTAGTGGGGGCCCGGAATACCATAACCGCAACGATACGAAGAGCAGTCGATTGGTGTTCGTGGAGTAGTGGATAGTGTACCCGGCTCATATCCAAGAGGTATCCAGATCGAATGCCCTTGGTGACACTAACTTTTTGTTAAAGATTCTGCTTAGAATGCAATTTCTTCTTAACTGTAGGCTACATCATTTGTTAGAATTTGAGGCATTAATAATTTCATTTTAAGAACAGAATATAACCTTCATTCAATTTGAAATTATAAATGAAAAAAAAAAATTAAATGAAAAATCATTTATTTACACAGGCAAAGTTAGGGCCACGGCCCTTTCTTACACTTAACCTGCACTTTAAAATATAATATAAATATTTTAGGCTAACAGAATCAGCTTAAACTTATACAGTAAAGGAAAACAGAAATCATAGATACAAAAACTTTTATCAAAAATCAGTAAATTTTAAAAATACTTACACACACACACTCACACATACATACATACAAGTCAGCGACCGCCATGCGCACAAGCCCCTACGACAAACCTACCATGGTCATACGTTCAAAATAGAGATTTTTTAGTGCTGCCACAAACCGGGAACGACTATCGAGGAATTTAATAGCTAAAGGGAGATCGTTCCAAAGACGGCAAGCAGCTACAACAAACGCTCTGTCGTAATCCACGGTCCTATGGTGAGGCATACGCAAAGTTAATGATGCACGGTGTGAGTATTTAACACTTTCTTCAGCTACAAACCTAAAATCAACTACAAAATATTTTGGAAAATTGTTTTTTAATATTGAATAGGTTAGCGAAAGAATTTTGATTGATCTCATGTCACATAGCTAACTTAGAATGAATACATAGAAAGGGGTGATGCGCTCACTGCGTCTTAGATCATAAAAGAATCTTAGGCAGTAGTTCTGAGCGCGTAGCGAGGATTTGTTTCATTATCAGCAAGTTTGGTTAAGTCATTTAAGTTAGGTTATGACAGTAAATGCCAGACGCCGGACGCGTAGGCCTACTGGTATCCTCTGCCTTTTTGTAAACTGGCATGTACCGTTGGAAGTATAAATAAATAAACTGATTGAACCAAATCACACCAATAGGCTATAGGCTACTGTACTATAGGGTCGATACTTACTTAGATAATTTATCTGAAGAATCTAACATGAGTTTTTCTGTGATTTTGTTTAAAAGTTTGGTATCATTTTCAAAAGAAAATGAAGTCATGACTTCAAGCTAAACGTTAACAATTAGAAAATGTTCTACAGAGAGGAACTAATAGATTTAAAAGTTGAACTAGGCTAGGCTGAAAATCTCCTGTAAAACACTGGTCACTGGTCAGTGCTCTCGTCTAGCTCTTGCTCTTATTGAGAATTGAGATAGATAGATGAAGATAGATGACTGACAAAAAAAATGACAATGACAGTGACAGAGGACACGATACACATACACAAACGCAATCGGTACAAAACAAACAAAAAGGCGGGAAAATGGGAAGATCAAGATAGACGCGCTTTGCGCTTACGATTAAGCCAGTCCAGGGATTGAGGGATTCACTCAGTCAAAACGAAATCAACTGGACTTAAGTTGGTATCAGACTCAGGGAGAAGTAAACTTAGCCATAGACTTAGCCTATTGCTATTTTTTTAATAAAGTTTTTTTTTACAATCTGTTTTATCTATGGTTTTACATTAAACAATAAGTAAATATGATGGCATTTATATAAATAAAATAAAAATTGGAAAACATGAGAAACAGCTTTAGCACTAACAAAAAAAGCAAAGAAAATAAATTTTAGAGCTACTGTACAAATCGAGTCGGAAGGTCTAAAACATTTTTCTCTTTTTAGTCTGTAGACATGTTGACTGTTGTCTATAGTCCTCGCCACCCTAAGTTGAGGCAGCCCAAGGCCGCACGGCGTATATCTAGTGCGGCCTTTGGCTTGGAGGTTGAGGGCCAAATGGTTCGGATGATACTCAAGCTTGGGAGATGTACTTTTTACTGCAGCTCGTAACTTCTTCAGTTATTGCCACGATTACTAGAAAAATACCGGTATGGATCATAAACATAAACAAATGACGTTTTTGGCCCGAAAATAAACATAATTTAACAATGCTTAAATGGAACTGCCAAAACATATGTTCAATGCTATTAGTATAGGATTCGGGCCAACAACGTCATTTTGTTTATGTTTATGATCCATACCGGTATTTTTCTAGTAGTCGTGGTTATTGCTATTCTGCAGGTACGAATTTTACTTAATTGCTATTCATTTATGTTAATGATTACACTTATTGCATTGAAGCACAGACTTTTTGTTGGTTTATACCATGTTACACTCAAAAGCATAAAACCATAGGGGGCCCAACATAGGTAGAGTTCCCGCAAGGCTCGCGGTACGCTCTGTGACGTAGGCCACGGCCACCTTTAACTACTTTTGCAGTTAGAGGTGGCCGTGCGTAGGCTCGACGTCATGATTTCATGACGTTCACACTTTCCAGTTCCATTCCTTGTCCATTTTAGTGGTTGGTGCGAACACACAGATGCACAGATTAACAGAAACACAGACAAGCGGACGGATAAATAAAATGCTAATCTCCGACTCCGACTGGGGGAGCGAGCTGGCGTAGTGGTTAGAGCGCGGGACTCCAGTCCCTGAGGTCCCGGGTTCGATCCCCACCAAGTCACCAATGAATTTGATCTAAGTGATAATGCCGCTACCCCTAGGTCTAGCCTGAAGTAATGTGAAAAACAATCCCAGGCTCCTGCCTAGCGTCCAAGGACAGTAAAAAATCTCCGACTCCGCTATATCACGGCCACCTTTAACTACAGGCCGTGGCCTGGTAGAGTTGGAAACGTCGCAAGTGGTGTTGTTTAGTGACAGACGTCCCATAAGATAACATGGCAGACAGGTGACATCAGCTCATTAAATTTATGAAAATATTGAAAATAAAACATACAGAATTGAAAACTGAAACAATATGAATGAAAAATCTGTACATTATAAGCGGGGTCAATATTGTCATAGTCCAGTAACAAAACTTTTGTAAATACACAAATACCATTAGCTGCTTCCTAACAAAACAGCTGTTACAACACCACTTGCGACGTTGCCACTTCGAAGGCCGCGGCCTGGAGTTAAAGGCGGCCGTGCCCACTACCGTGTCGTTGACCGATCTTTTGGGATGTCAATAAACTGGGACCCCACGTTGCGGTAATCGTGTTCCCTCAAGAGAAGAGATCTACAGCTGCTGACGTCATCGAAGGCTCTTCTATACCTCCATTGAGTATAAACATAACTATGTTTATACTCAATGATACCTCTCTTGAGTAAATACCTTTTTTCTTCAGGCATTTCTGTTTTTTTTCATCTCATCTAATGCTGTACGTCATCGTCATCTGTTAGTACATCGTACATCTCTATCTATTTATTATTATTTACTACTACTAGTGCGGAAATGTTTGAGATAGTAATCTTACTGCTTTATTTTGCATGCTAAATTGCTTAATGCTGAACTGAAAAGATCATTTTCTTAATCCTGTTGCAGTGGGTAAGGGGTCTTAAAATGAATTTAGGCTCTTCAAACCCATATTCCAATGGATTATTATATGCAGGATTCAATCAAGATCAAGGTATAGTGGTTTAGCCTACATTGTTCTAGAGCATGTGTGAGTTAAGTTTATAGTAAATTGTATCTTTTAAAATGAATACCTCTAATTAATGTTTGGCCATCGATCCTTGATATCGATACCCCCATTGACATTATTGGTCTCTAAACATTCAACAAAATATCCTTGGAGAACTAGGTACCTACTGATATTTCCATAGCATGTAAACATTTGGATAGGCCTAATGATATTTACCCATATTTTCTGTAACAGTGTAACCGTCATATTTTGTAATTAGAAACCCCCCTTGCAAGTAGAAAGGGGGGGGGCATAGAGGGTCGGCGATGGTTCCATTGGATTCCTCACCCCAAAACCTTACCTCCTAACCTAAGCTCCTAGGTTAACCTTAGCTAGGGTAACTAACCAAACAATATATCGATCGATATTTTCATTCGGTTGTTTGTGCCAACAGATATGGAGGGTACAGTTTCTTAACTGGGCTATGCTAATATCGATTGAAACTATCGAATTGAAAATATTGATTAATAATCAATATTTTTAAATATAGGCGCAATGCACGTGTAGTGTGTGGGCCGCTGCCTAGGCTATCTGTTATAAAATGAACACAGAGGATACGCGTCCGGTAACCAGACGTGGATTAGGCGTCCGGTAGTGACGTCACCGGGTTGTGGGGTCCCGGAACGCCATTACCACAACGATACGATGTTCGGCCAGCGTTGTTCGTGGTGTAGTGGATAGAGTGCTCGGCTGATATCCAAGAGGTCACTGGTTCGAAACCCATCATCGGTTTCTTTAACTTTTTGTCAAAGATTTTGCTTTGAATGTAATTGCCTTATTTATTTGTTGTTAGTTTTATATTGTCATTGACGAAAGTTGTTCTGAGAAGCAGTATTTGTACCTACTGAGAAACGCTTGATAAATAAAGGCATTTTTATTTATTTTATTTTATTTATTTTTTATTTATTTTTTATTTCTTCTTAACTGTACATCTTTTGTTAGAATTTTTGGCATTTATAATTTTATGTTATGAAGAGAATTAAACCTTCATTTGATTTTTTTCATTATCAGCAAGTTTGGTTGGTTAGGTTAGGTTATGACAGTTACTGCCTTGCCTAATCCACGTCTTGTTACCGGACGCGTATCCTCTGCGTAAAATGAAACTATCATAACCTAACCTAACCAACCAAACTTGCTGATGGTGGAAAAATCGCATGAAGGTTTAACTAATCGAATCGATAGTTTCAATCGATATTAGCATAGCCCAGTTAAGAAACTGTAACTTACCCTTGAAAAATCATAAAAACTGCAAAGTGCCAAAAATGCCTGGTCCACTCCTCCACCAAACTAAGATAAATATAGGCTAACCTAAACTAACCTAACTGGACCTAACCCATGTTTAGGTTAGCAATATGCCGGAAATGACAGATTTTTTTGTTAAACCAAGGTTAGGCTAGGTTAGATTACTCGGTAAAGAAGTTGGCCGGGCATTTTTGACACTTTGCAATTTTTTATGATTTTCAAACTTAATTTTCTGGGTAAAACCGGCATTTGCTGAAAAAGTGCCAGGGGGGAAAAGTGTTTAAAATGTCATAAATAATAGTAAAATCACATAAAAAGTATAATAAAAATAAGTTAAACAATGATTTTCAGCATATTTTGCGATTTTCAAACATGATTTTCAGGGTGAAATAGGAGCTTGCCCCAAAAGTGCTAAATGTAAAAAGAGTTCATAACTTAATAGGGCAAATTATGAGAAAAAAACATTTTTTTCATAGATCGTTAGAAGCCCTAAAGTAAACAAATAGGTACCGGTATGGTCCTAATTTATCTTGTTCACTTTGTATGATCCTGAGGTCTCGGATCGTAGGTTACCTAGCCTGTAGTGCGAAACCCATAACTTAGTTTGGCTTTTACCTTTAAGTTGGAACATCAATATTTTGGCATTACCAAGTCAAAATGATGGAATGACTTGCTGTGAACTAAGTTATAGCAACTGTTATGACCCATAAACTAACTTAAATGTAAGCAACAAATATAAGGTAGGCCTAATAAAACCAATTGAGTTTTTATTACCTACTAAATAGCGCATTCTGAGTCTGGCTCGCTCGACTATGTTTTTTTTTTCAATAAAAACTAGGGAACAGCTAGTCCACTATGGGATGTCAATTCCAGTTTCCTACAGTCAATGATATCCTTATTATGCTAAATGGAAAGTTTGTTCCCAATATGGCATTTAGTTTTAACAATTACCCCCACATACCTATATACCATACCCATCAAAACACGTACATCTGGGTGTGCAAATTTGCAAACTGGCTTTAGTGTTATTATTCAAGCCAAAAAACTTGAAAATGTTGGTTTCATTTGCATTTCTACTAAAATAAAATCTAGCTGTTTACCGTGTAAAAGAGTCTTCTTATAAAGATTATAGGGCTGAAACATTCATATTCAATACTATTGATATTGTATCACGTGAAAGCTATCCTGGTACAGGTAAAATTGCTTATATCCTATTATCATTGAATAATATATAAAACTGTTCTCTGTGCAACTATATCCTAAGAGCATTATAATAGGCCTAGGCCTACACTATGATATTTAACCCACCCAATTCTTTAAACTTTAATGTTGGAGTATGGCTATGACGTTTCTGTTTTATGACAAATTTTTGTCTTCCATTTCTGCAAGTAATGTGGTGTCTACTCTTAAGAATTCCATTATAATGACCTCAACTTATTATTCATAGTGTAATTCAAATAGACCAGTGCATTGGCAGCTACAGCTGTCTTACAGCTATTTTTTTTTTTTTTTATAGTTCATTTAATCGTTCAGTAATAATGTCAAGGACCTTGAAGTACCATACTAGTCCCCCAACATTATTTTCACCCTATCTTATCCTTCATCCTGACTGACATCTTCTACTCCTTTGGCGGTTGACATTACTGCAATGTCTTTTTTAAAAACTCCTATCTATCCTATATATTATGTCTCCTATACAATATATCGTCTCCTATATCTCCTATACTATATGTAGCTATCTCCTATACACCTATATATTAGGCTTATAGGTCATAATTGTTTCTCAGAAGTCAGCCCTACCGGTCATCGCCAAGTTTTTAAGGTAAATGTTATGTCTCTCAGCAAAACATGTTATTATCGTCTAAATTCGGAAAATTTAGACAAAATTTACCTGCCTCAAATATTTTTTTCTTTCTTTCAAAGAATTGCAGCTTTTATAATGCACACTCTTCCAGTGTGCAATTAATTAAAGCTACCGGTACAATTAATTCTTCACTTCTGTAGCTTTTTGCTCAAACAAGATGTGACTGTGAGTAACAGTTAACAGCGTAGTTCCCTTAGTTAAAGTGCTCAGAATCCGTCTAAGTAATTGTAAAAAATAAAATTATTACTCTTTTTCTCAAAATTTGTCCACTGCTAGATAAAACTTTTATCACTTAAAATGTTTTAGAGCGTTACCAATCTAGGGTTATTTGAATAAAGAATGTAAAATGGATCACGGTAACGATTTTGTATGTCCTTTGTATTTGGCTATAACTTAGTCTTTTAAGTAGACAAGACACCTTATTTGCAGAAAATCTTATTGCATTTTGAATAGACTTATGCGTACGATACGTACAGTTTTCCCAACCCCTGATTGTGTTGAATGAAAATGGATCAAAATTACTCAACACTAACTTTTTACTTAATTTGTAAAACTCAAGCAATGTTTAGAGTTAAAATCAACATACATTTTGACAAATCTCTTACAGCTTTTATTGTTTTAGGATGTTTTGCCTGTGGAATGGAGAATGGTTTTCGTGTATACAACTGTGACCCAGTAAGAGATAAAGAAAGACACGACTTTCCAGATGGAGGCTTAGGTTATGTTGAGATGCTTTTCCGTTGCAATTATCTGGGACTTGTCGGAGGTGGAAAGGTGCCAAAATATCCACCAAATGCAGGTTAGTAACTTAGATACTGTATAACTTGTGGTTTTAGTTAGGTGCAACCTAGGCCTATATAATATAGGTAATATATAATACAATATATATTCACATTAAAGCTTTCTTTTTATTTTCATGGCCTCTGAATTGTCTGAATAAACTAATATAGGTTTAGTTTATCTGTTTGCTGTTGAAACGATCTACTTTTGTGGGTGCTACTTTTCTAAAAGCACGAAACAGCTGTAGTTGCCATAGTACCACCTGAGGATCGTTTTGACAGCAAACAGGTAACCTGAACCTATATCAGTTTCTTTTGGGCATAGCCTACTCCGGTTTTTTACCCAATGTAACTAATAATGTTGCCCATTGTTAATCTCACTACCAAATTGTAACCAACTTTATAAACTAAATTCAAAATCTTCTAGTACTGTCAATTTTTGGCATTTTATTAAGTTAAAGTGTGAATATAACTATAATTCTGTTTTTTCGCGAATTTCCCATATAGGGAATAAGCTATTACCATAGTAGCCTACTCATGGTAAGACCTGGATCCGGGACCAATTTACTTTTTGGTTTTGAGGTCCCTAGAGGCCAAAAACACCATCCGTTCAAATTTATATATTTATATATATATATATATATATGTGTATATATTGCGAGTCCCATGCCTCTCTTAAAATAAGGTCTCTTAAAAGTTACACTCCCTTAGCTATTGTGGAGAGGTAAAAGACTGCTACAGGTGTGACTAAACGTGTAATAAAACAAATAAATTTAGAAAACAAAGAAGTACAAAGGGTGACGCCAAACAAGAACTTTGAAAAAACAAAGATTAACAATAGTAAGAAAAAGATTTACAACGTTAATTTGCAAGTAAAAAAAATTGAAAATTTAAAAGATTGAGTTGGTAACAAATTATGTGACTTGATTGTTTTACATCTTTATAAATTTAGTTACATTTTTTACATAGCCTAAGCCAATGGTCCCTGAAGCACACACACTCCAATCTCCATACACAGCCTGTGGTAATCTCCTCGATTTTTCCTCCCAGGTCCTCCAACTCAACCTGGACTTGGACTATTTGCTAGATTGGGCTATTTGCTATTGGACTACTCGTCACCCCTCCATCTTCTTCATTAGACCATCTCATTGGCTGATTACCCATAGGGTGTGTGGCTTATAGGTTATAGCTATTTCTCAGAAGTCAGCCCTACCGGTCATCGCCTAGCTCGTGTCAGCTGGAAAAGGAATTTGAAAATCAATGCTCATTCTACTGTTCAACTCTGTTCACACCAACTGGCCGACTAAGTGTAATGTGAACAAAGTGTCTCTGTAGATGATCACCGTGGGTACAGGGTTAATCCCCTTTCTTAAACCCCCCTGGTTAAAACGTTAACCTACCACCGGTTGACAATAAAAATGAGAAAACAACTGAAGGAGATACGCGAAAACATCAATCGCGATGGTTGGAATCGAACGTATATCTTGATGTACGTTCCGACTCTTATTCCCCCCTTCCTGCGGTATATGAGCTGGTGGTATAGCTTATAGTGACTCACGTCTTATTTCGCCCCTTCGAGTCTTCTTAAGTTAATTAATTGTTTCATTTATTTTAAATTTATACTACTAGTCTCTTTGAGGCGTTTGAGGTTTTGTGATGAGATTTATTTTAATATTAAGTACCTATGTGGATGAAATATGCTGAAATTATGAGCAGGGCTGTATTTAGAATCTATGAGGCCCCCGGCGGCTCTTACCAGAGAAGCCCCTCTCTATATTCTGATTCTTCGAAGGTTAGAACTTAAGGGTTTAGAAATATGCGTGGTATTGCTTCAACTTGATGAATTGACTTTTTGTTTCTAACAATCTGATAAACATAAAGGCCTAGGATACTAGCTAATAAATAAGCCTATTAATTTCTTGCGCGAGCGCTGAGACGTCATCTTAGTCTCCTCCGATCATGGCGGAACATGAACAACTCATGTGGCGGCGAAGAAATCGTGAACATCTTGCGCGATCGGTGAGTCATCTTTGTCTTCTCCGATCACGGTGAAATCATTAACGTGATGGCCGCGGAGAAATAGTTAGCATCTTGCGCGGGCGCACCTCACTTTTGGGATGGTTTTAATGTTGGGTTTTTTCAAACAATTTACTATTAAATCACTTTTTTATGTTGGAGTTAACGGATTTTTCTTTAATGATAATGTGGTTAGGTGAGTCATAGCAGTGAAATTCACAGGGACTTTTTAGGTCTGAAATGTCTGTATCATTTAATAAATAAAGTGCACACATTGATGACTTGGAATATTGTAAATTGTGTCTTGGGATCAAGCAAAGGTTAGAATTGCGTTTGTTGCAGTAATCATTGTTTTCGGTCTCTACGTTGCAAGTTGAAGTTTTTGTTTTAATTACTACAATTTTAGTCTCCGTTATTTGGCAAATTTTGCCTTCCCACATTAGAGGAATAGGGTTATACTTATAAGTGTATGATTTGTATTGCAAATTACTTTTTTGTAAGGGAATTTTGATTTGTAAAATTATATTTTTGTTTTCATAGTGACATTTGCAAATAGGAATATTGTAGTAGGATTCAAGTTTCGTTACTGAATGGCAGTGGTTGTTTACTTATTTTAATTTGAAGCCTCGCTAAATCTTGCTCAAAGTTAGAGGTGGTCAAATAGATTTGGGGGTTTTGTTGTTTTGGCAGTCTTGTTCTATTTTATAAAGTTGGTTATGATACAAATTTAGGTAAATGTATAGCCAAGTTTCTTGTGTGTACTTAGCTAGTTTAAAATCAAAATGTTCAGAAGTTTCATTTAAGTTTGATTTAAAATTTCTGTAATGATTTTGAAATTTTTCATGGAGCTTTGATAGCTCTTTGTGGATATTTGAAGAGAAATTGTTTAATTTGGTTTCGGCTGTTGTAAAATCTCTGGTGTTCATCTTTCACAAAATCTAACAGAGAATTTAGTTTGTCATTATCTTATACTTCATTTTCCGCAAGATCATGATGATTTGTCATGGTAGCTACATTACAACACCATCCTAAACCTCTTCCAACAAATTTGGGCGTTCTGTATTCATAATGGGTAGGACTATTTTGTTTACCTTCTGTGAAGGCTGTTGTGTTTTAAAAGAGTTTGTTTAATAGGTTCTCTGAATTTTTATTGTTCCTAGTGATGGTGTGGGATGACCTCAAGAAGCAGCCTGTGATATCGCTAGAATTCAGTTCGCGCGTGCTGGGAGTAAGATTGAGACGAGATCGTATCGTCGTCGTCCTTGAAGGTGTTATCAAAGTCTACACGTTTATCCAGGAACCAAAACCACTCCATGTGTTTGAGACCCACCCTAACCCTAGAGGTATGTCAACTGAAAAAACTATTTCTTTGAGTTTTCTGTTTTACTCTAGATCAGTAGGTAAATAAAATGAATCTAAACTTTTAATTTTATCCTTAAATCAACCTAAATCTTGTTGTATTGGTAGGCCTGTGCGTCCTGTGTCCCAACAGTAACAACTCGCTGCTGGCATTCCCCGGCCGCAAGAGTGGCTACATACAATTAATACACCTGGCTGAGGCAGAGCGGCCGCCCCTGGACATAGCTGCTCATACGTCACCACTCACCTGCCTGGCTCTCAATCTGCAAGGCACACGGATAGCCTCCGCCAGTGAGAAGGTATGCCAAGTTGTATATGTTCAGTTAGTTTAATTCATTTTTAACTTTACAAACTTATTTTTACGTTAAAAAGTTACCAAATAGTTTGCAAAATTGTTGAAGAAACAAAATGGGCTACCGAAAATCTTCTCACCCCTATCTCAGGTCCATATTATTAGAAGGGGTAACAATATCTTTTATGTGACAAGTTAAACCAGCAATACACAAAGTCTAAAAAACCTAGCAAATTTTTGTGTTAATTCAATCTTAAAAAGCTATCCAAAACTTCCTTTGTTTTGTTTGCATTATATCAGTTTGGTACAAAAAATAGTAAACATAACCATTGACTATCCAACACAAGTAGACTTCCCATCCAATTCTAAACTTTGAAGCCCTTTTTCGTGTTTAGTTCATGTTGGTGACACTGATCCCTGGTATCGATGAAATTTTATTTATATTATTTTAGGGTTAATTTCATGATTTATTTATCCTTTACTGGTTGGTTATATAATTAGGGGACCAGTTATCGTTTTTGATAGATTGTTTCTCAGTAGCTGGTGCTACCTTGTGTGAACTTTGGATTATTTTAGCATTTTCTTAACATCATTTAGCTGTTTAAATTTCAAAACCATACAAAAATATTCTATGGTTCACTACAAAACAGGATTTTTTAGCAGGCTTACATGATTCAGAAAGAATTCAAACTGGCCCTAGGTAAAGAGATTATTTCAACTCCCTTCCTTCATTGAAAATGCTGTCAGTGACAGTAAAATATTCTAATGTTTGAAGTAATGTAGGCTAATGCAAAGTTTTGTGTTTCTTAATGCCAGTTAGGACTCTTTCGCATACTGCTATCCTCACAAACTACTCTAAAACCTAGGCCCCTGTGCTCTATCTATTCTTTCTATCTGGCCACTATTATAGTTATTATTTTGTTCATCTGTTGTAAGACTCATGTTAATTTTTGTCTTCTAGTGAGTACTCTTGATGAAGATTGCTCACAATGTCGTGTTTTCAGGGGACCTTGATCCGCGTGTTTGACACTGTGAAGGGTCACATGTTGTATGAGTTGAGGAGAGGAGCCAACACAGCTCAGATATACTGGTGAGCTACTAGACAATATTGACTTATTAGTGGCCTAAACAAATACAAAATATCTTCATCAATTCACTGACTTTGCTGTCTGAGCTTAGTTTAGGTACTGTATAATTTACTCAGTATCATTTTATGGGCTCTCTGTTTCAGACATCATTTTTACTGTATTTTTTATTACATTTATTTGTGAACGAGCGAACATAATGTTCTGTTTAAAGTAAGTTTTTAAGTATTTTCTACAGAATTCAAGGATAATATTTAGTTGAATTAATTATATTTTGCTGTGTGTTGAGCGGTTGCTGTAAAAAAAAACCTTTTTTTTTGTTAAAGGGTGAATTACTTAATAATATTGTCAATATGTCAATAATATTTCATCATCGTAAAACAAAATCATTTACAGTACTGCCAAATTGTCCTGTCTGTTTTAGGGTGGCCGAGGGCCTGGTTTTGAGCCAGCCAGATTTATGTTATTTTTGGGAAAAATAGATTTAGCCTAATAGATTTTGATTAATAACTATTGTCTTCTGTGAGTGTTTAAAAATCTTACATAAGATTTCAAGTCTATTAACTTGTTTGCCTTACTGTTTGACACATTTTAGTTCTCCTCGATGTTGCATTTAAAAACAGACATACCCAATTCAACAAAATTAAGAACAGCGTTAAAAAAATTGATAGTGTATTCAGTACTTCATCACTTTCATACTCTTATACTTCAACTAAATTTTAATGATTCACTCAATGCAGTATTATAGTTTATAGCCTCAGGGGTTTTTGTGTAATAACAGTGAAAAACCATCTTAAAACAGATAATTTCTCTTGGGTCATATAATCTTATGTAGCTTCCATGAGAAAATGTTTCTAGGGTACTGTGACCTTGGCTTAAACACAACATCTATTAATATTCCCCAAAGCAGAATGGTTCCTACGTGTCTGCAACGGCCTGTGAAAACCTCAAAATGTGTCCGCAAGCGCTAAAACTAAAAAGCTAAATAATTACTTATATACCGGTATATATATATATATATATATACAGGGTGTCCCGGAACTCTCTACCAATATTTTAGGGCATTGATCCTGGGTAAGAAACGTACCTAAATATCATATTTAAATTGTCCGGAAGTCCTTAGTTATGGACACAGCCGCCATCTTGTTTTTTTTAGTTATTAATTTTGTTTTTAAAGAATGGTTAAACATACGAAATGTAAACTTCGCACAAACATTTATGACAACTAGACAAAGCTGCAAAAAAATTATGAAGATTTTTCAAATTCATAAAACAAAATGGCGGCCATTTAAACTTTTCTTTCTCAAATAACTCAAAAACCATTGATTTTACAAAAATTTTAAATGGCCGCCATTTTGTTTTATGAATTTGAAAAATCTTCATAATTTTTTTGCAGCTTTGTCTAGTTGTCAGAAATGTTTGTGCGAAGTTTCCATTTCGTATGTTTAACCATTCTTTAGAAAAAAATTAATAACTGAAAAAAACAAGATGGCGGCTGCGTGAGTAACTAAGGACTTCCGGACAGTTTAAATATGATATTTAGTTATGTTTCTTACCCAGGAGCAATGCCCTAAAATGTTGGTAGAGAGTTCCGGGACACCCTGTATATATATATTCACTCTTTAGGGCTACTAGTAATATAGTTAAATAAAATAAGTAAATTTCAATAACTTGTATAGCTTACTTTTAAAACAAAAAACTAAAAAACTATTAAGGGGTAGGCATAATCAGGCTATTTAAATTTACTTTTTTTTAAATACGTATATATATACTGTACACATACCTTAACAAGTGTTAACAAGGTCTTCAGAAGTAAAACTTTAAATGTACTATAGTTTCTTTATATAAACACACTAGGGATGGACGGGATTGAAATTTTAGTTCGGGACGGGATTTTTATTTCCTTCCCGATTTTCGGGACGGGATGGGACAGGATTTTTTTCTGTGCATAAAAAAAGTACTGTATTGCAGTTACCAAAAAAGACATACGAAATCAATTTTTACCATTTGTGGCACTGATCTATAAAAACCAAAAATGGGTAACAATTTACAGGTAGCCTACCTATAGAAACTTGTGACTCGCGGGTCACGGGGTGATCGTCTGTAGAACTCACGGTCACGGCGCGATCGTCGTCATGACTCGCGGTCACGGCGCGATCGTCGGTATGACTCCGCGGTCACGGGGTTATCGTCGGTATGACTCCACGGTCACGGTGCGATCGTCGTCATGACTCGCGGACACGGCGCAATCGTCGGTATGACTCGCGGTCACGGCTCGATCGTCAGCATGACTCCGCCATCACGGCATGATCGTCAGTATGACTCCGCGCTCACGGCGCGATCGTCGGTAGGACTCTGCGGTCACGGCGCGATCGTCGGTAGGACTCCGCGGTCATGGCGCGATCGTCGGTATGACTCGCGGTCACGGCGCGATCGTCGGTAGGACTCCGCGGTCACGTCGTGATCGTCGGTATGACTCGCCATCATGGCATGACCGTCAGTATGACTCCGCGGTAACGGCGTGATGGTCGGTAGGACTCCGCGGTCACGGCGCGATCGTCGGTATGACTCGCGGTCACGGCGTGATCGTCGGTATGACTCGTGGTCACAGCGTGATCGTCGGTAGGACTTCGCGGTCACGGCGCGATCGTCGTTATGACTCCGCGGTCACGGCGTGACTGTCGGTATGACTCCGCGGTCACAGCCCGATCGTCGTTATGACTCGCGTTCACGGTGCGATCGTCGGTCCAATAATCGCGGCCACGGCGCGATCGTCGTTATGACTCCGTAAATGTGTCCGCAGGCCCGCGTTTCTCGGCGTTTCGTGTCCACGACAATGTCGCAGCGTTGCTCGTTGTTCTGCTTTGGGGTTAATATTAATATTTGAGCTGATTATACAGCAGTGGCGGCTGGTGACCATTTATTTCCGGGAGGTTCACAAGCCTTGTGGAAGGGAAAATGATGACGTGGAGGGGTTAGTATGGGTTATAAAGATGACTTTTCTGAATTAAAATTATTATTCAGAACTTTCTAAAATAATATTACACAATTTTGCTGTTTTAAGAACTATAAATGAACACCATAATTATTCTAAAACATGAATACTGCTGGTTACTTTTCAACATTTCATAGCCCTAACACTTTATTTTAAACAGACAATTACTGACACTGATTGAAGTAGTGTAGTGAGTGACTCAGTGAACTAGTGAAGTGAAGTGACAGATCAACAAGTGACTAATACATTTCACGCATCTACCAGCCAATGAGAGCGCTCAGAGAGCTGCTTCTAAGGCAGCTTCCCATAAGCTTTGCAGGGATTGAAGCGATCTCCCCTCCACCGGCATGAAATTGAACCGTCCATGTGTATGGCAAGGCAGGAGCTGCGCAGCCGGCAGCTCAGCTCCGAGTGTTTAAGCTTACTGCCGCCCTCAGATTGCAGACGCTACAGTTACGCCGACGTATCTTGTTTTGGTGTTTCTTGTTAAAACTTACTAATTAATATACCATACTGAGTATAAACAGGTGTTATCATTGTTGTTTGTGTTCTATTTCATTGGGGGTTTACATGCTCATATGCTCCTATGGACGAGTCGCCACTGTTATACAGGTTACAATTTATTGGTATTGATAATTTAAAGTCTCACATTGCTGTGTATTTTCCAGTATTAACTTCAACCATGATTCAACAAGACTCTGTGTGTCCAGTGATCATGGGACAGTTCATGTTTTTTCTGTTGACGATCAAAACCAGAAGCTTAATAAACAATCTAGGTAAGTTTGATGATTTGTGAGTTATATAATTTTAAGGCACCGATAAGATGTCACAGAACGTGATTTGACTTGATAGGAGTGTAGATTTTTACATTGTTTTCAGCTTTTATGACAATACCCATTGTCGCATATGGGTGGGAACGAGCTAGAAAAGTGGTGGAAGAAGTAAAGAACACGGTGCTTGATTTGATTTGTCTAAAATAAACTCGCTTGCTTATCCAAGATTGCAATATTGGAGCTTGTTGGAGATCTTAATTTAAGGACAAGCATCATACTTGTTTTGTAAAGACCGATGAAACAAGGAGCCACTAAATGATTGGGGATTGCAATCAAAAAATTCGGGCTGCCCTAAAATTACTAATATGTTTGGAGCTGTACCTATTAAAACTAACTAGTGGTCGTCCTGTGGTCGAAACTCGACCAAAAATAATTAATGTACAGACTTCTCTATTTTCTCCCCACACTGTAAATAAAACATGTGATTGGGATTTCTTCCATTTGTTTTGATTTTCTGTTTACATTTTGTTGTTATTTCGTCACCATCATGGCAACCCAGTTGGTCCATGTTAATTTTTAGAAGTTTTCAAATTCGTTATTTGTGCTTATTTTTTAGCCTATTTTAATTTTTAAAGGGATTCTGCACATCTACAGGCAAATATCTTTCTAACAGTATGCGTAGATTTCCCCTGCGATGCACACGAGCTGAGAAAAAAGGTTTTAAAGAAACATGCTTGCCTATTAATATATAGATAGATTAATTCTATTTCATTTAAAAATTTCAATGTTCTGACACCTAATTATGGCAAGGTCGGGGTGAGGTCAAATAAAATGGAACTTATAAAACACTGTAAAAATGACAATACATAATTTTTAATACATGTTAACTTTACAACGATAAAGGTTTAATAATTATGTAAACATAACTAAACAATGCCAGATTTTTAAGCTATCACCATAAATTAAAATACAAATAAAGTATAATTTTAAAGTATCACCACAAATTAAAATACAAATAAAAAAGTAAAATCACCTTTGAAACAGTTAATTATGAGATAGCGATACACACAGACTCAGCCGTGGGTCTTTGTACTTTATTTGAAGAGTGGTAAAGAGCCGTACCGCTAACTATGGTATATTTAAAACATTAATTTTTTATTTATTTATAAAAGTATTTTTTATTTTTTCATAGCACGTATTTAACACATCATCCAACCAAAATAACGGTGATAAAAGATAAATCCGTGGCGATAAATCTGTGGCCTATTTCTCTGTACTAGCATGAAAAGAACAAAATATGTGTTGTGTGCAATCCCTAATTAAACTCACTAATGCCGTCAACTTTCACCCAAGCCGAACACAGTTTATTTAAGGTGGGCCTCTCTCTCTGGCTAAGGAAGCTTACATTTGCACACCAACAAGAATCACCCACGTACTTAGAAAGATCTCAGAGCTACTCTCAAGCTAGATCATGTCATGTAAGTCAGTGTAATGTTTTAGTCAACTTAGCTCCTGTATTCAATTTTACTTATCTGTGTTTCAGCCTTGCGTCAGCTACATTTTTACCCAAGTACTTTGCCAGTCGCTGGAGCTTCTGTAAGTTCCAAGTGCCCGGTGGTCCACAGTGTATATGCGCCTTCGGAGCCGAAAATAACTCTGTTATAGGTAACCACTTTATCATTATTTTTCATGATATGTTGTAATTTCTTAAATTTTCAGAGTCTTCATGTGGATTTTTTCAAGTTCAAATATATTTATTCATAGTATTACATATGATTTTTTCGGCAAAGTCCAATTGATTCGAAAAAGTATCAACAAAATTTACAGTAGGTATATATATATATTTTTTTAAGTACAAAACAATTATGATTACTAGTTCTAAGGTGGTTTGTGGCTGGCTGGCACTTATATTAAAACAGAGTATTTGGCAGCAAGACTTAACTCTGAATGCATAAAATGAACAAGTAGGAATGAAAATGCCCTGTAACCAACAGCATTCTACCTAAATTTCTTGATTGTATTTGGTTTGCAAAATACACAACTTGGATGATAATAATGATAATGGTAGGTCATATGGTGTGGTAAGTCAGCATGCCAGGTCGCCAGACCTTATGTCCACTGGACTATTTTGTGTGGCTACGTGGATTACTTTGGTCTACTCATCTTTAGTGGACGATAATCAGGAAATTCACAACCGAATAATAAAAAAATATGTGCTAGTCAGAGGAACATATTCTTTAAAGTTACTGTGGTGCCACGTGCAAACAACCTTGGCCTCACGACAACCTGTATCTGGGAAAATGGAAGATATTTTGAAAAAAAAAACTCAAGTAATTGGCATCAAGTAGAAGGCAACTTTTAAAACGTTAAGGAACAGTATTGAAGTTATTGTATTTAGGTTTCGTTTAGTATTGTGTGTTTTACAATTAACTATTAGTTTGTGTGTAAATAGCTAAAAATAAGTATTTTTGAGGTGTTCAAAATTATTTTAGAAATGAAAGATCACTTGGCTGTGTTATTTTCCATTTGCATGAGTGCACTGGTACCCTTTACTTTGTTTAGTTTTGGGTTTTCGGTGAACATATTGATAACATTTAAAGTTAAATATCTACATTATTTTAGTAGAAGCATTTCCTTATGCTTTAAAAAAAAATCTTAGGTTAAATGTACCATGTAATTTACACCTTAAACAATCAATATTCAATGTATTTCAAAATAAAAACACTAGTTTATTATTGTATTACAAAACATAACATAATGTGGATGTTAATTCTAATAGATCATTAATATTCTTTATTCTTATAATAAATCTCACAAGGATTCTAAAAGTTACAATTATTATGTCAAAGTGAAACTACTGTGAGTGTTATTTCTTGCAACATTGTTATTTCTCCCTTAAGATTTTGTTTATATTTTTTCATGTATTTTTATAGTCGTCTGTGCAGACGGAAACTACTTCAAGTTCCTCTTCAACAACAAAGGGGAATGTTTCAAGGAAAAATCCTGCAATTTCCTAGAAATGACTGACTAACGTTAGTAACGTTGATTGCTGATTGCACCCTTTGTAAATGTTCCCACCTGTGAAGCATGTCACATTTTCCTAAAATTGTCTTATTGAGAAAAGACGATTTGAAAAACAATTTTTCTTTGAATCAAGTTTGGTATTTAAAAGTCTTTGTCGCTTGATATCCTGAAAACGATTAATTCTTTCGACATTTTGTCAAAGACCTATACTTTAAATTACAGAAGTAGGCCTAATTGATGTTATTACATCAAAATTATGTTACTTTAGAACTTCAATACACAATATAGAACGTTTGTATATTGTACTGAATTTGAAATTACATACATTACATTAATTACTGTAAGTTACCTAATATCATATTATTGTGAAGTAGGTAATCACTTGCAACGCTGAACCGCTCTACTACATTATTGGTATGTGGTGACAAGCACCTGCCACCTGCTCTTAAAAGATGTTATCGCTCCTATTCTGCAATTATTGAATTATTAGTGTTATTATTTTTGTATTCTGTTATTGTTGATTTGTTGTTTTTAGGACCTTTTGCTGTCTAAAATTCACCAATAATAACTCTAATAGCCCAATTTAAATAGTCTCCATGTTCCAGCATTTTCCTAAATTCGGCCAACCTGCCGCCTGTTTAAGCCTGATATTAAGGTTCTACTGTAATATATTTTGTACAACAGTTACTTTAAAAAATATTCATATCTCAATTTGAATTTATAATTTTCTTGAAAGAGAATGTTTTCTGCTACACTTCATTGAGCAGGCTAAAGTTGTTTGCGGGCATAGCAATAGCAATGTAATACAGACATACTTGTTTAGGCGAATGTTTAAAATAATTTTTCTTCACTTTTCTTCACTTACTTCGTGGACAAAAAACGTACATTTCACAAACTTTTTTACTATCGCATGAATATAACTTTTGACTTTTCATTACACATTGAAACGTTGTGTTATGAATGAAGCATAAAAGTAGTCAACATTCAAACTGTTTTAAGGGAGGAAATTCAGGATGCGAAGCTGAAAAAGACTTAAAAAAGACTTAACTTGTAAAATTTGTCATAAAATTATTAGATATTTTTAAAATTTTACTTTGTCAAGCAAATGTAGGTCAAAATTTTATGAAACATTAAAAAAAGTTAAATTTCTTTTATTGTAATGTAAATATTTAAAATTAAAATGATGTATAAAGACTGAAAATAAGGTACATTTTCCTTGATTTATTGTCCTGCTTCAGAGGGATCTGTTTGTGTCTCAATCTAAGTCATTAAATTAAGTTTCTATTTCTTGAAAATAATAAGATAATTTAAGTTAATCAAATTTGTATTTAGGTCTTTAAAAATCATACGACTATTTTTATCACGGTCTAAACATTATTGTAGGATTAATTAGGTATTGGCAAAAATGATAGTGTGACTTTGGTTTTGGTTTGGTTGCTGTAAAATCATGTCCAGTTATAATGCCGTAATATAAAAGAATCAAGTTTTTTAAAGCACAAATCAGTAAAGTCTGATATACATATCAATATAAATAGATCAAAATGATTTTCTGCAATATGTTAAAAATAGTAAGAATAGTTGGATTTATTCAATGGCAATTCCAAGTGCAGTTACTTTCATCACCTTTTAAGTCCTCATCAACGATAACATTGGCAATCATAAGTATGCCACTTATTGTAAAACTATTCTATGTTCCGTGAGGTGAGGGTTTATGACTTTATAACTGATCCAAAAAAATGTGATTTATATAAAGTAACCTCTGATATGAGTGTCATTTCTGTTATTTAATATGAATCAAAGCTATGTTTGTATTGTAGTTTTATCATTCAAAAATAATAATAACTTATTTATGTTTTCCTTTATGTGTAAACATATGAGACGGTACAACCTATTTTATTGGGTAATAATTGAAATATTTAACATAAATTAAGAAAATAGACCTAAGTGAAATTCAAGCCAATGCAGAGCAATGCAATGTTGTAAAAAGTATTTGTTAAGTTTTGTTATTCTATCAGTTTGATGTTTTACTCAAATTAAATTAGTGTTTATTAGGTTCTATGGTGTTATGTGACACATTTTATATAATTTTCTTTTGAAATTAGTGAATATGTATGAGTAAAATAATACAATTACTGCAATGAACTGGATGTACATATTCCAACCTAAACACTTCAGTGAAACTCCATGCACTTGAGGCTAGTCCAAATATTTGTTCTTTGGTTATCAGCGATTGCAACAAAAATATAATTATTTCAGATTTTACACAACTTTGTAATCTCATCACTAAACTTCAGTGGAAGTATAAGAAACTTAAACTTGTTACAGTATGTTTACCACTGCAATGTTATATTTTTTTGTAATAGCAGGGCAATTAATAGCCATGACAATAATCAACTCTATTGATAAGCATAAAGACATTTAAATAAAAAATTATACTGAATATTCCTACATCAATCGTTTATTGATCATTGGATCTAATCTGTCATAGAATCTCTATGTTGTTGTTCAAAGGTTTATTGCGGACATTTTCCATCACGAATGTAAAAAAACAATACACAACGTTTCGGGATCTGGAATCTGATCCCGTCTTCAGGTGAAAAAACTTAACTAACACATTACAACTAACAATACACAAACGCCCAACCTAAGTTGGAATACACTACCGAGGGTAGTAGTCAAAAAATATGCACTGTATAGCAGTCAAGTCATGATACAACATGCAATTAATAACAAATCACAAAACACTATAATCTATAAAAGGTTTACGTACAAAAAACTCACACAATGGAACACTAACAACACCGTACGCTATGACTCCACCAATGAGACTGAACCAACATGGCTGACCAATCGGAAACACGGAGACAACAGAAATGGCTTCCGGTCCCTGGAAAAGTAAACCCAACAAAATGGCGGAGCGATGTACGATGCCGCAAGATGGGTGTTAATTATGTTTATTCATATCACGAGTTTTACTACGAGTTAACATAACGTGCGAATTTTGAGGAGAACTCGTTATTTCCCTATTTATTGAACAATTAAGTTCCCTATCCTTTAGTTCCTTGTTCAAAATGGGTAGCCAAAGTGGCCTTATTTCAACCGATGACTGACTGATTGGTTGGTCTGCTAATTTAATGTATGAGGCTTCAATGAGTTTACGTTTGAAAAAATGAGGTTCCTTATGGACAATTTTTGCCTCTTCAAAATTCATACGATGATTTTCGGACCAGCAATGATGAGCGATCTTAGATTTTTCCACTAAACCTTTTTTGGTGTTTTCTCTGTGTTCTTTGATTCTAATGTTCAACGGTCTTTTTGTCTCGCCATAGTAAGGCCTGGAACAATCATTGCAATTTATTCTGTAAACACAGTTTTTAGTATCCTGAGTGTCATTTTTGGGTTTTGTTTTGACGAGACTCTGCCTAAGTGTGTTTTGTGTCCTAAATGCTGTTTGCACATTAAATTTCCTAGCAACCCTTCTGATTTTTTCCGACAGTCCTGACACATACGGGATTGACATGTGGACGAGTTTTTCCTTGCGATTTTGTAAAGGTTCACGCGTAGCCCTATCTTTCTTGCATTTGTTTATAATGGATCGAGGGTATCCGTTACTAGCCAAATCCTGTTCTACTTTCTTAATTTCATCCTTTAACTCATCCTGATTGGAGCAAATGCTCTTAGCCCTGTCAAACAGAGAGTATAAGCAACCCCCTCCTTGACAGAAATTTGGTGGTTTGATTGAAACGTTGTGTATTGTTTTTTTACATTCGTGATGGAAAATGTCCGCAATAAACCTTTGAACAACATTAACTCACCATCACCAACAATGAACTTCAAACAAAGAATCTCTATGTTGTTAGTCAACTTGAACTAATACTAATATATTTCAACTTTATAAAATGTGTAATCCACTCCTGGTACAATAAAATCCCTTTTAAGTACACCCTGTTCAATTGAAACTCAGATTAACTGAAAGCATCACAAAAATTTCAAATCAATTGGTAAATGAGCCAGGCAACGGGAACTGTCGGGAGAGAGTACAGTAGTTTGACAGGATTGGCCAATGGAATGTAATGGAGCAGACAATGACATGGATCTCATACTGTGATATAGATAAAGTTCAGAAAACAACTCTCGATTATTTTAACAAATAGATTTTTGTATACACTTACAGTTGTGGAATTTAAGACAACATCACAAAAAGCATAACATAAAAATTACTGTTGTCTCTTTGAATAGACAAAGCCTTTGTATTCCTACGTTTGAATAACCGACAAAATATGTTCAATCACAGTATAATGTATAATCACAGCCATCTTTTTCAAATGCTATTGACATGTCACATTGTTGCTAAAGTTCTTCAAATATGAATCAAAATAATATTATTATGCACTGGAAGAATAATTTCTAAAATGATGTAAAAGTGAAATATTGAAATCTTATCATTGTAATAACATTTAGTAATGACATAACTGAAAAGATACTTTTATTTTATACGTCGTTCATTCAAATAACTAATAACAAGAGAAAGACTTAAAAACCTAGATATTGAGCTGATTTTGAGAATCGGTAATTTGATTATCCATACAAAACTGCTGAACTCACTAAGAATAACTTATTTACCAATTCTACTTAATATCGTGATGATTTATTTATATTTATACACCTGAAATATTATCAACACTCACAATTTTATGACACCGTTGCTCATTAACAATATGCATGTATTCTCCTCTCAGTTAAATAAGTTAATAAAATCCAATTTTTGTCCAGATTTGTTATAGAATTCTTAAATTATGTGTAAATAATTTTTACTATAAATGTGATAAAACAACTACATCAGTTGACTAAATTATCTTTCAATGACAAAAGTTATGGTGCTATGAAATATTATACATGTTCTCTGTACTGTATTGTATGGTAAAAATTATTTCAAGAATTTTTTGTTTGATAAAATTGTGATTATATTTTATTTTTCTATTTTATACGTTTTTAATATAAGTTTGTTTGTATGATAACTATTTGCATTACGTTTCTACTGTTCATATAAGTACATGAGCCTACTTGCAGTAAAATGGAAAGTAATTTTTGATCCAACTTAAAAGTCAAACAGTTATATAAGAAAGCAGTCTTTAAATTAACATATTCCATTTTGCTAAACTGTTAAAATATAAACTATC